ATTTTTATGGTTTTAAAACTAAATATCACACATCTAGCAACAGAAGAGACCTTTCTTAGAAAAAATAGCTTTTAACTTATCTTAGATTATTGTGACCAGAAGAAGCTATAAGTCTATGTTAGAGAACAAAAATACATTCTATATGATGTTATTTTCTTAAGTAGAAGAGAGAACATAAGGAAGAATTGACTTCATCCAAGTGCATCAATTGTAAGAACAGGGAAGAGTCAATTTTAATGAGCATTAGGAAAATTGAACTTCTGTAAGCCCCCCTTTTATTATTATTTTTCAGTCCATACGAGGATGGATAAATGAACTTTTTCTTGTTGGAGAATGTGGCTCACATGGTGAGCTCTGTATCTGCTGTTCTTACATCATCTCTGGGTCTCAACAGGTGCTGAATCCTTCATACACCTCTCCAAATTGCTTGTACTTCACAAGAAATCTAAAATTTTTATTCTTTCTAAAATTCACTTATAAGCTGTAGGGGATGAGATTTTTAAGAATGAAGAATTCTTCCAAATACCTCTTTACCCAACATTAGGGAAGCTGGCTTTAGTGATGGTTGATACTTACCATAAAGTTTGTTTATTAAATATTTTAAATATCACCTTTGGTTAAAATTTTATAAATATTTATATAATAGTTGGTACAATATAGTAGGTAGTTGGTAATTGGTAGCTACTAATACTGTATTTTGGAAAACGAATGAACTTGGATTGTGAAAAAACAAAAACTTAAAATAAGGATGGGTGTGAGAGGTATATAGCCATGGTCCTCTGAGAGGGGATCATGGAGAAACAACTTTCAGGCCTGTATTTTAACACATTAACTTGTCTACTTCACATCTCCCATCTCTTGTACAACATCAAATACCTTTGCTCAAAATCATGGGTATTATGAACAATAAGCCTTACATCAAATAGTCTGGGGCATGGAGTCAATGTAGTTTAAAAGCACTGGTGAAGATGAAGTCTGGGCTGCTATTCAAAAATAGAAATTTGATGAGAGCTTTTCAGAATTGAAGCAACTTCTAAATCAGTATCTGAACCTAACCAGTATCTCTTTAACCACTGGCATCATCCATGCTTTTTAGTATCAGTTCTCTTCTTAATTAAACAGCAGTCAAAAATTCAACTTTGTCTTTCCCTTCCTTTGTTATTTAGAGCTAAGTTGGGTGGACAGATCATATTCTGACACCAGATGGAAAAGCCCCATCTGCACTGAGTTACTGAGATCACAGGTGAATCTGGGAGTGGCAGTTCAGAAGTAAAACCCTAACATTGAAGCAGGGAGTCTCAGTGCTCCCCAGCCCAGGCAAATAGCACTTCTAGAGGGAACTCAATCTAGCAGAATGCATTTTTTTGTTTTCTCCTACAGGACTTGGTCCAGTCTATACATTTAAATGGAAAATAAAATAATTTTTCTTGAGTCATTCTTGATTTTTATTTTCCATTACTATTATTTATTTTTCTACTATATTAATAAACTATATATTTGACAGATGACCTACTCTTTTCCCAGTAAAATGATGTAGGACACCAACAGCAAGAAACTTAACTGCCATTTCTCTAGTTATTTCATCCAGGCAATGTAATGCTGGGAAACAGGGAGATTGGTTTTCTTCTTTGTATAGATTCTATAAAGGCTGTAGTAAATGGCACCCTGATTGAAATTCTTGGGAGACATTTTAACTGCATTTCATAATTAAACTTTTCACTCTCCATGGGTATTTTGAATTAAATTTTCCTTGGTATTAGTCTATGCTTTCATGGGTGTTACATAATCTAATTCAACATGGTGCATATAGAGCTCATGTGATGTGGTGTGGTATATGGCTGCATGAAGCAGTGCCAGCACCAGACTTGATTGTGAGCAAATTTGCATGCATAAGAATCCTTATAGATTCATGGATTTCAATCTTTCATTGGCCTTAACCAACCTACAAAACTAATATTGAAAGAAATCAATATGTGGACACAACCAACAAAATTATGATCATTCTGTTTATCACCTGCAGGTTGGTCTCTAATTGAAGGCACATCTTTAGCAGTTGCAGGTAGAGCACCACATTAACAGTTTTGATTATTTGCAAGTTCTACAACCTACCTACCATGAATGGGAGAGAATCAGAAAGAATCATGGCACCCTTTATAAAGAAGGTAGATAAGATCAGCTCTCTGGATATCTTTCCTTTTCAAAAATAAAAGAGAATGAAATAAGCCAGGCAGAGAAAGACAGACATCACATGATCTCGCTTATACGTGGAATCTAAAGAACTTAATAAACTCATGAACAGAATAGATTCAATGACATGG